TGAAAAATAAAAATAAAAATGAACAAACAGCCTTAATGAAACAGCCGTGTCACAATATTTCATAAAAACAGATTAAGTGGTGCACTCAGTTCATTAAAATCAAAGCCTCAGCCAGTAGGGCAAGGGCCCGAGTTAGTTTTATAGTTTTTCCTCTAGGCAAAACAGCAGCGAGCAGAATCCAACTGAACAGCAGGAGAAGGCTCATCTGAAAACTAAATGGAGCAGATCGTCACTATTAAACTCAACCGTTGACAGCAGAATTTACAGAATCTCATATTGCCTACCTGCAAATTTGTGTGTTACAGCACAATCTTATAATAGAGTTGCTGTATAAATTGGATCATGCAGCTGTAACAGAACAGTCTAATAAGCATTTGTTCACAGTAACAGGTAAGCGGTAGCAGGCTAGGCTAACCCTTACCTTCAAGCCATTAATTGGGCACACAGACAGACCAGTCTTATACCCAGGAGGCACAGCAGAGAAGAGGCTAGACGGAGAATGTTATCTGCAGCAGAAGCAAGCAGACGTCGTGACAAACGCCGTGTACCCAGACGGGAGTGACGTGCTTTTATACAGAAGCCACAATTGACCGCGTTAAAGGGGCAGCACACCATTTATGCTGCTACATTTCACCCCCCCAAATTTGAGTCGACGCCCCGACGCCGCCTAAAAGTAGTAACACCATGGTCTGGCACACCAAACTTAGAAAACCACTCTGTCACCACGATGTGAGCCACAGTAGAGGCACACTGGTCTTTGGTTGGTATGGCCAAGGTGTACTTGCTAAAAATAAATAAATCAGTTAGGACGAGCACATTCTCCCATCCATCCTGGGAAGGCTCCAGGATTGTGAAATCCATGGCAAGGCTCTCATTGGGTCGTGACGCCAGCAGATGGCCCATATAAGTCTGTACAGCAAGTCAAGTATCCTTTGCCACAAAGTTTAACACTAAACTCTAGATACCCAACATAAGGGAAGTTTAACCCATTTGCTGCTTTAGGCTGCAACCAGTGACAATGGAGGCCATCAGGGCCTACAGACTCAAAGTGTTCCCTAAAGAATCATTCTTTGAGGGTTAACACCATAGATCCAGTGTCAATTAGACAGGGCACCTGATCACCTCACAAACACACATCTAAATGTGGACACGATGCAACAAAGTTTGGGTGCTTCCCTACTATTACATGGTGCTGTAACTGAGCCAATAGTGGCCCCACCCGAACTGCAGCTCAACAATTCGGTGGGATCTAGTTTCCTCGAGACCGCAGAGCTATAAAGCAACATACTAGAAAAGAGCCTCCTGCAATGAAACAAGAATCAGTACAACATATACCTCCTTTAGCACTTTAATAACACAAGTGGGATCAGACCGTTCAGCATTAGAGCGGTATCTAAGCTCTTCTCGTGCCTCACCCTCCAGATGATCATACAAAAAGAAAGCTTGATAGACTGCTGATAAATGACATGCCCTCCTCCAGCCACTCATTTAACCCTATTCCTAACCTTCCCCTGAACATTGGACATTTCCTGTCACGAGGCAAAAACACCAACCTCTGACACAGGGGAATAAGGAGTAGGCGGAACAATATGAGAAGCACTTGGGGTAGAGGAGTCAGCGGAAGCACCCGGGGCAGAAAGAGACTGTACTTGACGCAACTGCTCATTGTCTGCTTTCAATTTGGCAATCAAGTCCCGCATTTCTTGGGCCTCATCCTCCATGATCCGGATCCTTTGGTATAAAGATGAACTCGCTGCTGTTTTGCCTGCACACAACACAATTTAATCCAAACACAAGAAAACAAACCCAAAAAGAGAAAAAAATAAAATAAAATAATAAAAGAATCAAGTCTCCATTTTCCACAACAGTAGGCCCTACCAACAACACCAATTGTAGCACTGGGGGAGTGGTTATCTTTTAAAAATGAATATGAACGTTATAATGGAAAATGTTAATTCTTTAGTCAGTTTGCAATGAGTGAAAAACCAACAACGCCACCTGGGATTATACTCCAGGAACTAAAAGGACACGTAAATTTGTTCTACTGGAGGAAGGAGACAAGATTCAAATAAACTTTACCAAATTTATTGTGGGGGTAATTTGCACAAGTTAAAAGTATTCAAAAAGTATTTTAAAACATGCAATACCAGAAAATAGTTGACTGCATTTAATTGTTTCACACAGCTGTGCTGGAGTTAAAAAAACACTAAAATATCAGGTGAGACTGAGACTTACTAGTGGGGAGGGGGCTGTAAAGACAAGGAGACCACATCCAGTGAAGGAAGAGAGAAAAGGAGTGTTCCACACACAAAGCGAGACACCGCCACCACACGAAGTCTCAGTCCCTGAAAAATAAAAATAAAAATGAACAAACAGCCTTAATGAAACAGCCGCGTCACAATATTTCATAAAAACAGATTAAGTGGTGCACTCAGTTCATTAAAATCAAAGCCTCAGCCAGTAGGGCAAGGGCCCGAGTTAGTTTTATAGTTTTTCCTCTAGGCAAAACAGCAGCGAGCAGAATCCAACTGAACAGCAGCTCATCTGAAAACTAAAGGGAGCAGATCGTCACTATTAAACTCAACCGTTGACAGCAGAATTTACAGAATCTCATATTGCCTACCTGCAAATTTGTATGTTACAGCACAATCTTATAATAGAGTTGCTGTATAAATTGGATCAAGCAGCTGTAACAGAACAGTCTAATAAGCATTTGTTCACAGTAACAGGTAAGCGGTAGCAGGCTAGGCTAACCCTTACCTTCAAGCCATTAATTGGGCACACAGACAGACAGACCGGTCTTATACCCAGGAGGCACAGCAGAGAAGAGGCTAGACGGAGAATGTTATCTGCAGCAGAAGCAAGCAGACGTCGTGACAAACGCCGTGTACCCAGACGGGAGTGACGTGCTTTTATACAGAAGCCACAATTGACCGTGTTATAATGGCAGCACACCATTTATGCTGCTACAGTAGTCTGATAAGAAATGCAATAATATTGTACTTGTGACCACCATAAAATCTAAATTGTTTAATGCTTACAATAAAAGTATATTAGTAACCACGACTTTGATTATTGTAGAGAAGGCATTCTCAAGTACATCAAATGGCCAGTTTCACCAAAGAGACACAGTTCAGACTCTCACAAAATATACCCAGTGGCAGATTTCTTACACCAAAAATTTAAATTTGATCTAGAATGTTGTGCCTTTTGTGAATGTCCGAGAGAATCTCTTTTTTCCTGTTCCTTTGCAAATAAACTCTGGAAAGACATAAAGAACTGGCTGTTCGTGAAAACTGAGCCATCCCAGAGGTTCCCATCACTCATGTACTTTCACATGTCGATGATCCTGCTTGTTAAATATTATTCACTGCTGAGTGGAACACTTCTACTCCGGTTCAGTTCTTTTCTTAACCAATTTAAACTTTATTACTCCTCAACGAAATGTCTGAAATCTACATATGCAAAAAAAAAAACACAACAACCTGCCAGTTATCTACTTTGGTTTAAAACTTGCTCCACTGCCTTTCATTTGCCTTAATACGTTTGTCTTTTACAATCTTAAACCCATGCTTTTTTTCATTCATTCAACCTTTATTTAAACACATAAGTCACATTGAGCCTCGAAGACTCATTTACAAGTGAGACCAGTTTGGACAGACAAAAACGGCGGTTAACTGGACACATGGAGGAGTTGGAGGCGAAAAATTTCTATCAGACTTTTTTCTTGCAAAAAAATATGCTCCTGTTTCTTTGCCTCCCACCTATGCTGCATTGTTCCTTGTACCTCTACGAGATGTTGGATTTTGTATACTGGACGATGAATAATAATAAAAAATAAAATTGAAAAAAGGCTGCCATGACAGACCGCTACGCCGTCTGGGAGATGGTTTTCTATCCGTACTGGTTATAAACACACATTTCAGTTAAAAACTGGAGAGAAATGGAAAAAGACACTTCGAGCCCCAAACTTATCTAGTTCTAGTCTTTTATTTGTTATTTTAGCATACACCATAAAAAAACTCAAATGTTTTAAACAAAGACACAAATTTGTGTCTAAAGATACAGAATGAAAAAGATGGCAAGCTTAGTGTCAATGATCTCACTTTGTCTTTCAAAGCACAGAATTAATTATTAAAGTGCGCGTGGAAGCCGATCCTCTGGAAAGTGCTGAATCATTGAAGTCGAGGCTGCCGCTCGTGCACGCAGAGCTGGGTGTGGTCACGTTACAGCAGGTGTGCACCAAACTAAACCCCCTCCCTTCTCACGTTTTCCTTCTTTCCGCAGGAAACAAACATCCACCCATCGTCCGACGCACAAATTGAACTTGAGAAACGAACCGAAAGTCAGTCCAGCTAATGTAACCGGTGTGTACTGGTTTTACCGACTGGTTTTACTGACGCCTCAGATGAGCGTTGGCTAAGGCAAACGATGCAGGTACAGAAAAACATTACATCATCACCTGTGGAGTCAAAACTGGGCCTGAATCAGATAAAGTTGTGTCAAATGTTTTAAGTGAGTGGAGTGTTAATAAAGGTACTTCACGCAGGAGAAAGTAGAAGTATTTGATAAAACGAACATTCAAAATGGCAACAACAACAAAATAATATCTATTAAAAACAAGCCCCACCACACCTTATTTTAACTGTAGTTCAATCAGGTGAGTGAAGAAGCATCTTTAAGATCATAAATGTATTAAAGAGCAGGTTTCTAACTTTACTTTTTACACCGACAGCAGCTGCAAGAAGTTCAGCCAACATGTCCTGAAGGTCTTTCCTCCAGTAGCTCCTCCCTCAACGTGATGAAGTGGCTCTAACTACGTGACGGTGACGGCAGCTTTACAGCAAAGCCTGGTTGAAGGTTGAAGCCTCGGCGTGGACACGTCACTTCATGAACACCCAGTTCCAGCGCAGCAAAACCAGTCGGACTTGTTGGACAGGTCTGACAGTGGCAAAGATCTCAGCGGCATCACAATCAAGGCATGTAGCGTGAATATTAGTCAAAGCCCTAAACGCCAAGAAAAGCCAAGGATCAAACTGAAATTGATTACGTAATTGATCACAAAGACCCAAGACAGAAACCTTCAATGAAAAGCAGGAAACAGGCTCACATGACTGTAAGAGAAGGAAAACTAGATCAAACTTTTTCTTTTCCATTCAGGTTTGTAGAAATGAGCTCAAAATGTATGTTGGTTTAAAATGGATGTCAAGTTACGGGGAAAGGAAGACAAACCCTAAACATGTCCCGCTGTGAGCTCTTTGTCATGACTCAGGCCTGTGACTCGACCCATGGTAGGAAAATTAAGTTTTCTTTTTCAGCTCCTCGAACCGTCGCGTCAAATCGTCAAAGTCGATGTCGTCCGAGGTCGTGGCGTTTCCACCTATGGAGGATGAGGGGAGTGTGTCGGGAACGGAGGGAAGTTCTGGTAGAGCGTTGTTGTCGTAGGATGCACGAGGCTTTGGAGTAGGGCCTGAGGACAAACACACGTTCACGTGTTGGAGAGCCCAAATAAGAGCTACATTTTAGCTGACAAGCTTCCCATCGGCAGTGAACAAGCAGAACTATGATGCAGAGAATGCAGGTCACTTAATGTCTATAGCACCAAGTCAGAAGAAATAAATGAAATAAAACCGTATAGTACTGATGAGGACGTCTTTGCTGGTTAATATCAGGTCTGTTTAGAATGAAAACTTCATTTTGTTCTTTGTCTTCAAGGTGGGACTCACCTACAGCCTGGGGAGGAACAGAAGGCTTGTCAGTAAAATCATCAATCTGAAACACAAGAGAAGCGTCTTAGAGCTCATCCTGAAGTGAAACGATGTTAGTTTTGTACTGACGAAGACAAAACGAACGTCCGGTAAGACAGACGGCTGTTTGGGAACCATCACCTCCAGAGACACTAAACAACAATTCAGGGTTGCTTTTAAGATACTGTCACGTGGTTAGTTCACAGGAAGTTCTTTCACAACATTTCTGCATATCCACACAATTTTTATACATTTGGCTTTTTGTCCAGTGGCAGAGAAAACTTGTGAAATGCAAGTGAAGTTCAGTCTGTAGTCTTTGGACCAACTGTCAGACGTTTGCATGTAAAATGTTTGTGGGACTGTTTGGACCGAACCCAGTGACGTCACACATGCACTGGTTCCAGTGGTGTGAGAGTTTTTCCAAGGTTTGGCTCATTTCACCTGACGAGTTGTGTCAGTTGCCTGCTGGTGTGCACGTGCGTGCAGAGTATCGGTTTCTGTGCTGATGCTCGTTTCCACAAAGAAACACTACGGTGCATAAACGCACAGACATTTGAGCTCATTCCCATCTGGACTTTTATCTTGAAACTTGTTTTAAAAAGTGCACGTTGCAGTCAAACCTTGTGCATTTGCCTCAGCCAACTCTTTCTGATGCACTTGGATATTTAGACGTGTACCTGCTGGTGCCAGGTATCGGTTTGCATGAAAGCTGTGATTATTTCCTCCAGGCCGTGCGTTCAGTGCCATCTTTTCCTTCTAAGTGGTCCAAACAGTGAATTTTGTCATTTCCTGTTCCGTCTCCGACGGCCTTTTCTTGTACATGCTCATTTTACTGACGCGAGTTCACAATGACTGCTTTAAAAACTACATGAAACAAAGTTCATAAAGTTAAAAACTTTTACATCCTTAATCCAAAGAATGCAATCTGTGGACAGCTTTGAATCAACTTTTTAACTGCTCGAAAAAGGAGTGAACTCCATAAATGTATGAACCATAAAGTCAAAATGTTTTTCCTCTGAAGGTGAGAATTATTAAACCGAGGCTGATTCTGCACTTCAGTCCCATTTTCAATGACCTACCTGCAACTTGAATATGTATGAGCAAACAGGAAGTACTATAAAGATTGTGCCAAATATAAATATTAACCTGATGGTACATTCATCTGGGTTAGGCCGGTCAACTCGGAGATTTCATGGAAAAGTACAGAAGGCAGACAAAACGAATAAACTGTCCTTCCCTGAGTGACGCCCTGCCCTGTCCGTCTGTCCGTCTGCCGGGACAGGAAGGGGCGGAGGGCACGGATGCGAAGGGTTCAGTCACTTACAGACTCATAAGTGGGGGGACAACTGGGCAGCTCTGGGGGCTGCCCTCCTCCCATGGCATGTGGGAAGCTGTTGTAGGTTCCAACTGGAGCGTTAAAAGGTTCCTGGAGGAAAATAAAAGAATGATTTTTATCTTCTGTCACAGCTTCACCATTATGAGCATTTCCAGACTAAATATTAAAGATATGTGTGTTATGGTGGTCGCTGTTATGTTACGCATTTTTTAATTACCAAAAATGTTGCATTCAAGCTTTTTAGTCATTTTTAAATATTTTGAGCACGATAAAATGTGTTCTCGTCCTTACAAGACAGTAGCTGAAGTTTTAGCAGTGCGTAAAATCATGTTAAACCTAGTAAAACATCAAACCTAGTAAGGAAACTGAAAGTTCAACTGGGTTTCGTTTTCAGAAATAGATCCCGTTTAAAGCCCTTTTCACACGGGATTAGTTTTACCCAGGGACCACATGTCAACATCTGCTTTGTACGTGGTGCATTCGCACAGGATAAGCAAAGCCTGAGATTTAGATGAAGTTTACGGGCATCTTCCAGATATGATGTTGACAAGCTGCGTTGTCACGACCGGGCCGGTCCATATAATGTGCAGGTCGGGCCGGTCTCAGGCTTTGATGTGGTTTTATGAATCAGCACAAAGAAAACTAAAGAAGAATGCACAATATAAAATTGTGTTAATCAAATGTTGAGGAGGCAGGTCCGACCGGCCGGTTTAAGAAGTAAAAAATGTTGCGTTAAGCTCAGATGGACAACCTGTCACCGGCCGCAACAGCGCGTTCATTTAAAATAGCCTTGTTCTGTACTTTGACAAATTATTTTGCTTAAACAAAAAACGCCTCATTATGTATCGGATCCCACCCATTTCTGTGCAAATCACAGAGATGCCGATTCACATTGGATTAGTTTTATCACAGGACCTGGGAGTTCAGCAAAATACCGTAGGTAATTTCACTTTACAAATTACTGACATGGCTGATTCACACGGGATTAACAACACAATCTCTGTAATTATTACAAATAGCATGTGGTCCCTAGGTAAAACTAATTCTGTGCTAATAGGGCTTTAGTCTGAATGTTAGGAAACACCTTGTAACTGTGACCTTCATTCTCTCCAGTGACTACGGTGACATTATTTACACATTATTTACACATTATTTACACATTATTTACACATTATTTACACATTATTTACACTGAAAAGGACCTTCTCCTGCTCCGCTCCTGTTTCCTGGAATATCTTGTAAAAAGATCTGAAGCTCTCGACCTTTGACCTCTCTAAGTGGCTTCAAACATCTGTGAAGTTCCTGCAGATGTTCCTGTTTTTAGTTTTCTACATCACCTTATTCATTCATTCAACCTTTATTATAACAGATAAATCCCATTGAGCCTCAAGACTCATTTACAAGTGAGACCTGTTTGAACAGACAAAAGCAGCGGCTAACTGGACACACGGAGGAGTTGGAGGCAAAAAAATTCTATCAGACTTTTTTTTCCTGCCTGAGGGAAAAAAAACTAAATTAAAAAACACCTCGCACAAACAAGCACATACTGACGTAGACATTCTGCAGGGGGGGGGGAGCATGTTCATAGATGCTCTCGAGGTCAGTGGAAGAGTTCTGATAGGATGGAATAATCTGTCAATGTCCTCCGATGAGATCCACAAACATTCTATAGATATTATAATTACCTGTTTTTTCTTTTGTGTGTGTTTCTTTTACTTTTAAATACCATTTTTCACTTGTAAAAAAAACCCTCCTCAATTTCTACGCATCCTTTATGATTGTCCATGTTGTCGTCTCTCTTTGTTAAATCAGGTGTCTCTTGTAAAGGAGTCCCCGAGGCTCAATGACACTAACCTGTAGAAATAAAGGTTGAATGGATGATATTAGACCTAAAACTACTACTTGTCTCAATGACACTGTGAGACTTTTTGATTTGAACAGAATGTCCCTTTACAGGCCAAAAACCAGCCAGTGATTTTCTTTAACAGAAGGATGTTGAACGTTAACATGTTACCCAACACATCTGAGGACGTACCAAGTTTAACAATAACACAACTTATCATTTACTGCTCATTGTGATCCCATTTACTACAAGCAAACATTTAAACCAAGTCCTAATCCTTCTAAAAGTTTTTGTCAAATTAAGTCATGACAAAACAATTGGAAACAGATTAAAAACCCTCTTACAGCTCCTTTGGGAGGTGGATAATTGAAAGGTGTGGGCATGGGCATGGGCATGGCAGCTGCAGGAGGAGCACTGAAACCTCCACCACCTCCACTCTTCCTGTCGACATTCACATCAATCAGGTCTGCCTCTTCTCCAGGACACACCTCGGGCTGTAAGGAGACAGCAGGACGATGTGTCGGTAATCAGTCCAACCACGACATCATCTTTCAACAGGAAGTGAGAAGGACTTCGAAAACATACGTGGACCATGGCATCGGGTTCATAGGGCACATTATAGTTCTTGGCGATCTCTATCAGGTAGCGCTCGACTAAAATCTTGGGAGGAGCTTCCACGCTCAGTTTGTGCATGAGCTGTAAACACACACATTCAATCAGACGTCACTGAACAGGTTCAGGTGCGGTTTGTTGTCATGCGTGTATAAAATGAACACAAGGTCAACAACACAATGACCTGCTCAGGACGAGAAGAACTGACAAAATGAAAAATAAAAAAAACAGCTGCTCACATGATCAAGAAGGTGAGCAGCTGGTTCTGGTTGTCAACAACAAACTGGGTGATCCACCATGAGAGGGTGCTATTTAAGAGACTGAGCTGAATACAGCACCTCACACTGAGGAAGTCCTCAGGATGAGAGACGAAACGTATCTACATTTTTTTGTTGTTTTGTTTTTTGAATGTCCAGAGGACCAGACTTAACTTTTTTAGATTACTGAGCCTGCAACAGGACACAAAAGATGCATCAGGACACAAAAGATGCAACAGGACACAAAAGATGCAACAGGACACAAAAGATGCAACAGGACACAAAAGATGCATCAGGACACAAAAGATGCATCAGTACAACAAAAGATGCAACAGGACACAAAAGATGCATTTGTGCAGTCAGTGGGAAAACATTGCTTACCCTATCGTTGACTGTGCCAATCTGGTTTGTCCTGCATAGCTTGCCATACTCCTTGCTATACTTTGCACACAGCTGATCGGATACCTGAACAACAACAAACGTGTCAGAAAGGCTGTTCAGCTTCAGTGTGTCAGAAAGATTAGAAAGAGCAGGACTAACGGTTTTCAGTTCAGAAACCTCCGACTGGAGACGAGGCGCTGCCCAGATGAGCGTCGACACTGCCTCCTGCAGACCTGGATCAAGTTCCCTGTGAGGCACGAGAAATGGATGGGAACTGTGATAAATGCACGCTCATGCACGTGTGTGTGTGTGTCAGTACTCACTTCATGGACTGAATAAGGCCAAAGCGAGTCAACAACAGGTCACAGTAAAGCTCAAGGATCTCCATGGCTTCAACCAGATAGTCCTCTCTGATGATGTGCTCCACACGGATCCGGGCGCGCTCATCCTTACCTGACGACAGGTAATCTGCAATCTCCTTCCTGGACTTCTGAGCGAGCTCAGCTTCAGTTTCAATTAGTGAAGGGTAAAGGTGAACAGGACATTACATGAACACTACAAGTTCCAAAGATTAGAAGCTGGACTCACTTTTCTTTTTCTCCAGGAGTTTGAGGCGGTTGATGACGAGCCGGAGGTTGACTCGGAGCCTCTCGGCTTTGAATCCTCCTCCCAGCATGATGAAGATGATTGACAGATGCTCTGAGGACGCAGGAGAGCAGGACATGATCCCAGCCCGTCATGTGAGCAGGACCTAGCTACAGGACACGTTCATCCCCAACAAACCAACTACGGAACTCGAGGGAAGCTACAGTCGCATGTGCACGTTAGCTGCCAACAAGAGGAAGCACGAGTTTAACGTGAACACGTCTCCTGTGGTGCTTCATACACGCTCGAGCCTAAACCTTTCCACTGGTGAACGCGATGGAAGGTTGTCAGTTTGTCTCGTTCAAAAAGCGTTCAATACATAAACAACTGGACTTTAGATCTCGTTAGCTGCTCAGCGCTTCCCGGGTCTGTTAGCATCCGAGCTAAGCTAAAAGCTGTCGAAACCAAACCTGACCGAGAAGCTCAACTTGTGTTGAAACATCAGAACATAAAGTGACAAGAACTTACCACCAGGTACCAATCAACTGTAGACTCCAACTCATTTGGCTTTCTGTCCGAGTTTCGTCGCCCAATTCACTTCCGCGATGATACGAGTTGACGTCATAGGGACTTTACCACGTGGGGCGGGGCTTAGAGTCGACTCATGCGCAGGTGTGACTTTTTTTAATTAAAACTTTGAACAGATGAAGCGACAGTACAGAGGTGGCATCGATGTCTGCTTCTGCTGGGTACCAGCTCATGAAGGGGCAAAAGGAAATGAGAAGGCAGATACATTAGCAAAAAGGGCTTTAGAAAAGACAATAACAATTACAATTCCTATAGGGAAAGGAGAAGGAAAATCACTGATAAAGGATAAAGAAAAGGAACAATGGCAAAAAAGGTGGACTGAAGATAAGAAAGGAAGAAGTCTATATCAAATCCAAAAGTCAATAGCAATTAAGAATATTAATATGAAAAACAGAAGGGAAGAAATCATAATGACCAGATTAAGAGTAAGTCATACATACTTAAATGATGTTTTATTTAGAATAGGGAAGAAAAATACTGATAAATGTGAAAAATGTGGAGAGAAAGAAACTGTAGAACACGTATTGATGCACTGTAAAACATATGAATCTGAAAGAGAGATACTGAAAAGAATGGTTGAAAAGACAGGTCAAGACTGGAGTCTTAAAGGACTGTTAGGAACTGAGGGAAACATAACGGATATATATAAAATAAGGAAAGCGCTAATTTTATATCTTAAAAATACAAGACTAATTAATAGAATTTGATAGATGTAGAGAACTGTTGTTACACACTCATGTACAGTAGGTGGCGGAATGCACCTTACAGTTGTTTGCGATCCGCCATTAACGAAATGAAGAAGAAGATGAAGCGACAGATGAGGAGCAGCAGGGTGGTGCAACTGGTGGAGCTGCTGCCTCTCAGCAAGCAGGTCCCTGGTTCAACCCCCGGTCCAGGGGCCTTTCTGGGTGGAGTTTGCATGTTCTCTACGTGCATGCGTGGGTTTTCTCCGGGTACTCCAGTTTCCTCCCACAGACCAAAAACATGCATGTTAGGCTGATTGGTAACTCTAAATTGTCCCTAGGTGAGAGAGTGAATGGTTGTTTGTCTCATTTGTCTCTATGTGGCCCTGTGATGGACTGGAGACCTGTCCAGGGTGTACCCCGCCCCTCGCACAGTGATTGCTGGACATGGGCACCAGCGACCCCCGTGACCCAAAATGGAATAAACGGGTAAAGATAATGGATGGATGGATGGATGGATGGATGGATGGATGGATGGATGGAAGTGACAGATGGACATTATCATCACCTTTATTAAAAACATAATTAGGTCCATATAAAAAAACAAAATGCAAATAGATAATATAAAAACATTAATAAATAGATAAATAAATAAAAAATCACAAATGTAAGTCACAGATTTACAAAAAGGCTGAAACGCCAATGGTTCCACATTCTGGACTTAAACCTGACTGAGCTTTGTGCAACATCTGTTAGTATCAGGATGATATTTGTAGAATCAATCTCCACATAAATCTGTACATAGTTACGTAATGCAGCATAAAAAGTGGAAACGCCACCAACAAATAACTGACTTGCACTAGTCCATCTCGGCACCCTAAGCAAAATCCTCATTCTGTCATTATATGCCACTTAAGAGTTTCTGAATACTTCTTTGCTTGTAACGTCTCCAGAAGTAGGCAGTATAAACAGGTCTCTCTTGAACGAAATAAAAATTGCATTATAAAGTGACATAAAATACTAAAAACAGGAACATCTGTATGAACTTAACAGATGTTTGAAGCCACTTAGAGAGGTCAAGGTAGAGAGCTTCAGATCTTTTTACAAGATATTCCAGGAAACAGGAGCGGAGTAGGAGAAGGTCCTTTTGTCTAGTTCAGTCCTCACTGAGGGAACACTGCAGGTAATGATGTCCTGAGAGCGCACACTGTAGCTGCACTCACACAGAGACATGTAGGAGGAGATGTATGAAGGCAGCAGACCAGGAAGTGATTTAAAGATGAAAATGTACCAGTGAGAGAGTCTGTGTGAAGTTAATTTTCATTCCATTCATTCAACCTTTATTTAAACAGATAAATCACATTGAGCCTCAAAGACTCATTTACAAGTGAGACCTGTTTGGACAGACAAAAACAGTGGTTAACTGGACACATGTAGGAGCTGGAGGTGAAAAAAAATTCTTATCAGACATTTTTTTTTCCTGCCAGAGGAAAAAAAACCCTCTAATAATAATAATAAAAAAAAACACCTCGCACAAACAAGCACATATTTACGTAGACAATCTGCAGACGGGGAGACGAGAGCAGTCAGCAATGCTCATAGATGCTCTCGAGGTCACTGTAAGAGTTCTGATAAGGATGGAATAATCAGTCAATGTCCTCCGGTGAGATCCATAAACATTCTCAAGGTATGTCGAGGAATGGCCAAGAATAACGTCTATGAGAATCCAAGAGTCCTGAAATGATGACAAGTTTATTCAGCTGGTTTCTTCTGATTATCAGTTGGAAATTCCTCAGGGAGGGGGTGGTGAGCGTCAGATCACATGTTCTCCAGGCGAATTCAGATAAGATGGCCTTCAAGGCCAGCCAGGGGAGTCAAATTCAGATAAACACAGAGTTGCTTTGGGGACAGGCAGAACTTAATCAGAGTCAGAGTCAGAGTCAGAGTTTCTTTATTGTCATTCGCACCTCATGTGGTACATGTGGTGGAGCGAAATTATGTACACGGGGTCCCAGTTACATCCAACAATAAAATGTATAAGAAAAACAGTAATATCATCTAAGATATGAACTAAGAAAAACATCAACTAAATATACACTAAGCACTCATAACATAAAACATTGAACATCAGCACAAACATGAACATGAGTCTGTGAGCAGATGTGCACGCATGAACACATCAACATGAAACAGATCAGCAGCAACATGAAACAGATCAGCAGCAACATGAAACAGATCAGCAGCAACATGATGTGATTTTTCACAGTGATTATTCTAGTTAGAGATTCATGAGTCTAACAGCCTCAGGGTAGAAGCTGTTCCTCAGTCTAGTGGTTCTACACTTAATGCTCCTTAACCTCCTTCCTGAGGGGAGTGGGGCAAAAAGTGTGTGTGCTGGGTGAGTGTGGTCCTTCATGATGCAGGTGGCCCTCTTCCTGCATCT